CGCAGTTTTATATTGCATTGTTTTAACACTTATTAAAAAGTTGACTTTCGTTATTTGTGTTTTGATTTGTAAGCACCTAAAAAAAGTTTAATTAAAAGTTTTTTATGATTATTATTATAGTTCGTCGGTAATACTTTATCTTTTGAGGGTTTTAAAATTTAATTTTCTCATTTAAAGTGTGTATGCATTATGGAATAGTCTTACATAAGTGACTTGTTGTATTATATATTATAAGTATTATTTATACTTTTAACATGAGCACTGTTGTATTATTAATTATGAATTTGTTTTGAGAAAAAATTAAATAAAGTACTTAATTGTTTTATTTATTAGCATTCTCTACGGAAAAATATGCTTGAAATTTAGAAGGATCGGAATAAATACATAATGATTTTATAAGATCTTATAAATCTTACTAAGAACTCATATTATAACTTGTAAATCTTACTAAGAATTTATATTATAATTTGTAAATCTTACTAAGAAATTAAGATAAATCTTACTAATCTTATTATGATCTTACATTTCTTACAAATCTTAATAAGAAACCGTACAAAAATTTTTAAATCTTAATAACATCTTACATTTCTTACAAATCTTAATAGTAAATCGCACGAAAACTTTCAAATTTTCATAAAATCTTCCTAGTTTTCTTGCATGTCTTGCAAGTCTTACTAATCTTACCAAGAATCTTATTAGGAGATCTTGTTAAGATTTATAAGACTCGTCGTTCTGGGTATCCAAGAAACGATGACGTAATTGCTGAAACCAATATTTAGATGCCTGGGTTTATATAATACTTTCAAAATCATTTTAATTACATTTTCACAATTTTTAAACGAATAAATGAAGAAAATTTTTAAGTGTGGTTTTTTTACCGTTCATCCTAAGCCATAGTTTATGCATAAAGAAATATTAATAAGTTGCTTGAGTATTTTATAAATTTTAAAACCATTTGTCAGATAGAACTGCTCAAAAGTCAAAAAGAGAAGATGTTTTTATATTAATTTTGTATATTTTTTAAAAGGGTACAGATATATGAAATATTTTTTGTGTTAGTGTTACATTATAATTTAATGAGACTTTTTTATAACACATTCATTTTTAATTTTTAGATGATTTGGTTGGTTAGTCGATCATTCCCATTATTAATCCATCAATAACCAATGGTTATTGATGGATTAATAATGAGAATGATTGACTTCTCCAAAAATAACCTGTCATATATAAGCGCAAGTTCACAATACAGTAGAATCATCCTTGACTTTTTATCGTTTTTCTTTTATAGCAATCGACTCGTCTAAATACTCTTAAGATGTGGTGCAGTATGTCAACGATGAATCAACTGCTTCATTGTTTCTACATGGCAATAGTAAAACAAACATCTACTACAAGATCATATAAGCGGACAGCGCTTCGGTTCTGGCATATCTTGCTAATGAATTAAAAGCACATAAATCTTCACTTGTGCACAAAAAATCATTACCATGTGCAAAAAACATTAATGCCATTTCTAAAAATATTAGGCTAGTGCAATACGTTAGAGAACAGCCTGCCTCAAGTCAAAAATTATCCAACGCGAGCGTTGCAAATTTAAATGTATTGCATGTGAACGGCAAAATGTGTATGACAGTTACTTGGGTATAACACCAAACATGTCAAAAGGTTTTAATACAACCATGCACTGTGAGCATGAATGGTAGGTGGTACCTATTGATATGAGCGTTCTTATTCTTAATCATCTTCAGTGCTATTTTATCAACTCCATTAATCTCGAATTAAGCGATTAAGGAGATTATTATCTACTAAAAGACAAATTTCCTCATCTTGTCCTTGTGAGAGACTCCGCTGTTTCATTTAGAAGATAATTCTTCCGCGTAAGAAATATCTCCAAAATAAAACAGCAGGACAAGGATTATATAGCTTAAGAAGAAAAAATGTTTGTTCTGTGTCTGAAAATGTTTAAGCTCAGACTGAACATAAAAATAAAGAGTTATTTCAATTTCCAACTATGAAATATTTTTTGATGAAAAGAAACAGTAACGAGGTACATTTGACTTGATTAAATGGACTCAAAAAACATGTTCCTGTTAAACAGTAAAAGTATAATACCATGTTAAAGCTCTGCAAGGTCTTGTTCGTGCACCAGTAACCTCTAAGAAAAAGTAATAAACTTAACCCAGCTACGTCAAAACAAGCGTGTTGTTAAACAACGCTTAGAAAGAAAACAACCATAGACTAGAGATTGTAATGTCAATGCGGCTCCTAATAACGAAGACAATAATGGAACAAAAGAAATTTTCCCAATAAATCATGAAGAGTTTATTGAAATCACATTCCATATGGAATAAATTATTTCAACGGAATACTTGTACATCGAATGGCAAGTAGTTAAGCTGCTACCTAAAAATTTGCAATTGGTAGTTGCACAACTAATATTGAAGAATTGGCAACACTAAGCTCAAATGAGTGGTTAAATGATGCTGTAATCCATGTTTACGACAATCTGCTAATGCACTTAAACAAGGCTATTGAACTTTGTTCACAAGCATTGTAAAGGCTTGTGAACTTTGTGTTATGATTTTAGTAAAGCGTACACACGAAATAAATTCGAAAGTACAAAAACAACCAAAAAAATGTAGTCAATTATTTTTACTTCCAACCAAGAAATAACTTTAATACAAAAATATAAGAAGATCAAATATATATATAAAAAAAAATCGAATTATTCCTGTGGGTATTTTATAAAATTTCGAACTTTTGCTTTGGTTGTACCCATAAGCTTGTGCACAAAATAAGAATTAAAGCCATTTGCTTTTTTAAATGATGTTTTAATAATTTTAATAATCTTTAATATTTCTGCAAAGTGTTTTTGTTTTCTTCATTTTTCTTCTAATAATGGCCCAGTACTTTTCAACTCATTATCTGGGCAGTTTGGAAGATTTTTTGTTTTAGGCACAAATATCACATTATTATTTTTATAAAATTCCAAAGCTAGTTTACAATAATAAACTGAAGTTAGCTCTGGCTAGAACACAGGTCTTTTATCGTGTGATTTAATGAGAGGTAAAAGGCGTTTTTGTAAACACTATTTAACATATATTTGACCCGAAAGTGCGGACTGAGAAATATAAGGTGATAATTTTTTGCCACAACTGCAAATAGCTTGCCAAATCAATAATTTTTTAGTAAACTTGTCATGTTTCATGTATTTAAATTTCTTATCTGCTTTTCCTCTACATCTGGTTATATAATAGATAGCACCAGGAACTTGATAAAAAATTGTTTTTGATATAAGTTTCATTGTCTTCAATAATACAGAAGTTTTTAGAAATAAAATTGTCATATTCTTCAACTTTCTGCAGCGCGTTTTCACACTTTTTTTGTTGAGTTTTAGATCGGTTGGGCACTTTTGTGCTTTGAAAGAATGAAAATCATGTTTATTTCAAACTTTTACAACAAAACTATGAAAAAGTCTAAAAATGTTTGCACGCTCCCTTAGTAAAAAGCTTCGATTAGTCTTAAAACTGTTAACCAGTTTTCTAACTAGTTTTTTATCATTAAACTCCTTTTTTCTTCCACCACCAGATTTATGTTTGGTCAGTTTTGTTTGAGAAAAACGTTGGATTACACGACAAACGGTGTATGGATGTGTTTGCAACACTTTTGCCATCAAATTGCAGCTACTATTGGGATTTTCCAAATACTTGTGCATAATACTTCTCTTATGTCTTCTTCTTTTGTCATTTTTAAAACTAATTTTAAGTTAAATCGAAAAACTAATACATTTTTTTGAAACCACAACACGTTGTAAACAGAATACAAAACAATTTAAAAGATTTTAATATAAACACTGAAAAAAATGATGTACTTATTCTTTCACATTTATTTCGTGCACTCACTTTAGTTTGTTTCTTTATTCCGTCCGGGTTTTAGATGTTTAGGCCAGGCCTGCATTTAGGTTTTTTTTACAACCCGTGCAGTTTTTTGTAAAAAAAATTCATTAGCGTTCGTATAAAATTTATCAAAATGATTGCTTAACTTTAGTTTTTTTTGTTTTTTTTTTAAACAACTATGCGATTGATTGTTTTTTATTTATTATAAAAAATATATATTAAAAATAAAAAAATTATTAGTTACTAAAATTTAAAATGCATTTTCAAAAACGATAAAAAAAACTTTTGCTTACTTTTTCAATAGCAATACTTTTGAAGTATTGCTATTGAAAAAGTAGGCAAAAATTTTTTTTATCGTTTAGTGAAGCATGTTGTTAAAAAAAGTAATTATGTTTAAGCATGGTTTTTATACACGTTTACAAAAGCATCAAAAATTTTAGCAACGTTTACAAAAGCATCAAAAATTTAACAAATGCAATTGCAATTAAACTAAAAGATACCAAACTTAAACAACATGATTGCTTTCTTCAAAAAAAGTGACTTTTTATAATTTTCTTATTTTCCTTAAAGTGAAGTAATGTTTGTTCGTACATCAAAAACACTTTTAAAAGATTTAAAAAGAATTTTTAAGTTTTGCTAAAGTATTTATAATAGTATAATCTAATAGTAAAAATAATCTAATAGAATATATAGAATTATTATGTTTATTGTTGTTATCATTTTTATTGTAGGTTAAACAACACCAATAATAGGATTTAATTTCTTCAAGTTTATATTTTTTTTTTAGTAAAAAAATTTAGCAAACTAATATTAAAATACTTCACTTTTTTTTTCAATAAAAAAAAATTACAATCTTTAGGTCATTGCATATTAATTATCATTAATTTACACGTACATTGTAAATTCATGAAAAATTGTTTTGAAAAAAAAATTAGTGAAATTCAACAAGCATTTTTATTAAATCTAATACCTTTTTTTACAAGAATAAAGTTTCCTTATTAGCACATATCTCTTAAACTAGACGTTCGTCAATAAATAAAGATAAGAATGTCAACGTTCGTTAAAAAAAAAAAAAAAAAATTGTTGCGTCCAGACATATTATACCTGGTGTTATATATCTTTTTATGATAGGCACATTGAAACTCAGTTGATTAACTTTAAGTACTGGTTCTCCATAACAATAACTCCATTTAGAATGACCTTCCATAGATGCATTAATTCTACTAAACCAATTTTTTCCATAAACAAAGAGAGCTGAAAACCATGCAGGCAAATCTTTAGAGAGTGTGGGTACCTCAAAATAATATTATTTTTTGTTATTAAAAGTACAATACCTTTTGATACTAACTCTGTTCATTGTTTATTTACAACATTGTGCTTAAGTACAATGTTGTACTTTGTTACAAAAATAATTCAAAATGTTATTATAATTAACAATTGTGTACTTTTTTTGTCCCGAATAACTGGCAGTTTTTATTTAAATTTTTTCTAAACATCTAATAATATAAACCACCAGTGGACATTTTTGAAATAGTGTTGTATATATATTTGATATTTATTTTTTCTTATGGATTTTTGTACAAAATTACAATTTTAAAATTTTATGATGTAACAGTTGCATTTTAATATTATTATTACTATTATTAATATTATTATTATTATTATTATTATTATTATTATTATTATTATTATTATTATTATTATTATTATTAATAATAATATTTTAATATTAGGAAGTTTATTTTGTCATATTTTGTAATATAATTTTTAATTGATTTGTGACAAGTTTATTCGTCCGTTAATTTTTTCTCTGTATTGTCTTCAGTTTTTAAATTTATTTACTAGAGTTTTAATTGTAAATTAAATCTTTGAAAATGTAGTAAGACTACGAAACATGTCAAGAATAAAAAATATTGTGACTTTTATTAAAATTTTTATAAATTTATTGCTAATGCGATGTTCGAAATATATACATATATATATATATATATATATATATATATATATATATATATATATATATATATATATATATATATATATATATATATATATATATATATATATATATATATATATATAAATATATATATATATATATATATATATATATATATATATATATATATATATATATATATATATATATATATATATATATATATATATATATATATATATATAATATATATATATATATATATATATATATATATATATATATATATATATATATATATATATATATATATATATATATATATATATATATATATATATATATATATATATATATATATATATATATATATATATATATATATATATATATTAAAGATGTGCCGGAACCAGTTTATGCCGAGTCTCCGATTCCGGGTACCCGGCTGAAAAAACTGGGTCTGAGTCCGGGTACTCGGCACCAAGTCCATTTTTTAAAAGTTGGAATAAAAATTTGTGAAATCTCTAGGGCTGAACTATTCACACAAAATACGCTTTTTACGCTAAGTAACAAAAAGTTATGTGGCCGACGTACTATTTAGCAAAATCCCGCAATGTAGGGTAAGGGGCCTGAGTTGCAGGGCCTAACTATTTTAAAAAGTTGTGCAACAGTTTTTTAACAACTATATTTAGTTTAAAATTATTTTTCTTTCCTGGTGGAGCGGGCCTAAATAATTTTTTGTGGGGAAAGGGGCAAAATTTGAAGTTCTGCCATTGAAAGTTATATTATGGAAAGCAAAAGATTAAGAAATATAAAGAATTGCAAAAAAAGGTAGACCTTCTCGACTGTACAGTGAATAAAATAAAACAAATAAAAAGAACTTAAACAACACTTATTTGCTGTATCTTATTTTAATTGTTTTATTAATTTTAGATTGTAATGCACAAACATTAGGTATTCTCCGTTATCTGCATTTAGTCTGCTCCTTGTTGCTTCGTATATGTCCCCACCAGCACTAAATAACCTTTCACTTTCTATTGATGACGGAGGTGCTGTAAGATATTTTAATGCCATCTTTTTTAGTTTTTCAAATTGCATTCCACATTTACTCTACCACAATACGGAGAACTTTTATTTTCTAAAAGAGGCAGAGGTAAGTAGTTGTCTAATTCTTGAGTAATTGCAGACTTCAATATTGTTTGCTTCTTAATTATGTCAGTGGTAACAACTTCAATATCTACTAATTCTCTTTCTGCCTCGGAACGTCTTTCACTCTGCTTTCTTCCGGTTCTCATAGAAGCTACATCTTTAAAACAATCATCAATGCTAATGAATCCATGATGCTGGAGCTTTTACTATTGGAGCATTGTCGGAGTCAGAGTCAACAACATCTTGCGCTCCTTGCATTTCTTTCCATGCTTCTTCAACCCACTCCTTAATAACATTTTCATCTGCATGTTGATAAAGTAATTTAAATCGTGGATCCAAAAATGTTGATACACATAACATTTTATTAGGCAAAAATTTATCAAGTCTTTTAGTAACAGATTTTATTAGTTCATCAATCATCGTCATAATCTTAGCGTATATATCACTTGATGAAGCTTTTTGTAATAAAACTTTTAATGCAAGAATAGATGGTATAACTTGTGCGCAAGTTTCGTCCCTCCTACCACATTTTTTTGTTAAGTTTTCAAATGGAGCAAGAATGTGTTTCGACTATTCCCCATTGATAATTAGTAGGAAGTTTAATTTCATCATATTCTGCTGCATAGGTGGCCAAAGGAACTTTTTGTTCAAACGTTCTTTGTAGCATTTCAAATGAACTGATCCAGCGAGTTGGAACATCTTGTTTCATTTTGTGAGGTACAGTACTTAACTGCTGCTGAATTGATTTTAATTTTGCACATGCTATTGGTGAATGATTAAAATGTGTCGTTATTCCTCTGCATAAAGTTAAAATTTCTTTGATGATTTCCTGGCTAAATATAGAGTCATGAATACATAGCTGCAAAGTATGGATAAAGCATGGAATTGATGACATTCCACTGTTTTTTACTGCAGCCTTCATATTGCTTGCATTATCGGTAACAATAAGATGAATTTTGCTTAACGGGATTTCAAAAGTTTCTAAACCTTTTTGTCAATACTCTTTTATATGAACACCTGTGTGCTTTTCCGGAAAATGAATTACTTGAAGAACAGCAGTTTCTTGTGAAAATTTAGTTAGATCTATCCAATGTCCAGTAATGCTTAAAAATGCGATTTTTGCAGTATCCGCTGTCCAAATATCTGTCGTCAGAGACAAATAGTTTGCCGCGGAGATTTTTATTTTTATATCTTTAAAAAGTTCATCATACATGCTAGGGATTACGTTTTGGCTGAAATATGTTCTACATGGTAATTTGTAATTGGGGTAAGCATCTTTAATCAGTTCATTAAACCCCGTATCTTCAACAATAGAAAATGGCTGAATATCCAATGTGATACGTTTTCCTATTATTTTATGGATTCGAAAAGATCTGTGGTCATCAATATTCCACTGTTTTTTTTTTTTGTAAAACCTGAATAATGTTACTTTGTACTGTATTGGTGGTAGAAGCAACTGAGGCTTCAGAAATAGACGGCAACGATTGAACCTTTTTTTTTTCTTCCGCAAGTTCAAACTCTTTGGAATGCTTTAAACGCAAATGTTTTACCATTGCTGTAGTTCCATAAGACTTGAAAGATTATCCTCCTCTCGTAATTAAACTATCACATAGTTTGCACTTACTCATATGAGGAGTCGTGCTTATATCAAAGAACTTCCACGCTATACTTTTTTTTGCCATAACTTTTCTTTCAAAAAAAATTTCTATAAAGATAATGAAACTAGTTTTGATATCAAAGTTTTCGTTTATTTTATATGAAACGATAATTTTTTAATAATACGCTCGAAATTAAAATATGAAAAATGTGTATAATATTTACCTTATATCTCTACTTTTATGATTTTTGCTTGATACGAATGAAAAGTCTATCAGCGTTCGAAAGCATTATAAGCGTTTCATTCAAAACTAAATTGCTAAAAACTATCTTGTGTTCTAACAGAATAAAAAAAAAGCTATTCTAAAACTTTGTTTCCCATTTTTTTTATTCGTATTCTCGAATTATTTCATTTAGCGTTACAGTTTTTGTATCCGTATAAAATTTTTTGCAAAAGTGTATTAAAAAATATTTTAAGTGAGATTGTTTTAAGTTAATAGAACTTTGTGGTTATCGACTACATAACACTCTTAGACTTATATCAAGAAGTTTAATGGTTAAAGTTTAACTAAAGAAAAAATCAATTTGAAGATACCCGGTGCCGGGTACTGCAACAAAATGGCCGATACCGGGTACCCGGTAAAACTGCCTAATTACCGGGTCTCCGGGTCCAAACCGGGTAACCAGCACATCACTAATATATATATATATATATATATATATATATATATATATATATATATATATATATATATATATATATATATATATATATATATATATATATATATATATATATATATATATATATATATATATTTATACATATATATATATATATATATATATATATATATATATATATATATATATATATATATATATATATATATATATACATATATATATATATATATATATATATATATATATATATATATATATATATATATATATATATATATATATATATATACATATATATATATATACATATATATATATATATATATATATATATATATATATATATATATATATATATATATATATATGAATATAATATATATATATAAATATATGAATATAATATATATAAATATATATATATATACATATATATATATATATATATATATATATATATATATATATATATATATATATATATATATATATATATATATATATATATATAAATATAAAAAAGATTAGATAAGAAAAAAAAACTTTTTTTTGGTACTTAAAGTTTCATGCCGTTTTCGGCACTCATCAGCCATATATTTAAATCAAGAAAAAACCGTTCAAAAATACAATTAAAAAACCGTTACAAAATTCAAAAAAAACAATGGAATGAGTTCTGACGCCAAATATTTATAATACAAATAATAGCAATAATAATAATAATGATAATAATAACAACAGTAATAGCAATAAAGTTTATTTTATGTAATATGCGTAATGAATTTTTATTAGTAACAACTTCTTTAATTCATTTAGCTTCTCTAAAATTTGAAAGCTGTGATTCAAAATTTTGCATTTCTCATTAAAAAGATAAAGAAAATATATGGGGTCAATGATAAATCTTAAAGTTTAACAAAGAGTAATGTTGGTAAT